TGCAAAATTTTCGAGGTTGTGATAGCGAGTCACACGAAACTTGGGGAGAAATGCTTCTTCGGTGATAAAGTTAATCGGGTCGGGCGCAACCTCTCAAAGATCAGGCTGCCTGACCCCCTTACCTTGCCTTCATCATTTTCGCCCCTTTCCTGTGCAAGTTTAAGCTTGAAGCCTCTTCCTGCTATATTGAAAATTTGGAGCCAAATATTCCACCCCTATAAAAATTGTAACTCTAAAAATAGGGCTATCCACATCCAAAATTCAATGTTTATACTTGCGGGTGGTCGTGCAGTCGCAGGAATTCGGTCTACATTTCAAAATACAAAAACCCTCCAGTAAAGGCTGATCTTCTTCATACCACAGCCTGAGTTCCTAGGGGAGCGACGGAGAGGAAAGTTGTTTTTGAAGGACTTGTGCCTGACCTCTTGCTCAACTTTGCATGTAAAGACTACTGCATGACGAAGGCGCAGAAACGATATTACCTGAGCGAGTGCGAGCGCGGCGCGCGCGTATCTGCACCGCTGTTAATTCTGCGCCTTATGCGCTCTGTGGCTACTAAAGCCGCGTTCGCGTCCAACGATATTCTGCCTTCGTCATGCAGCAGCCTACACTTCTAGGTCCGTATGCACGTACATCGCAAGCATCACATTTCGGTGCTCTAGATCTTTTCTTCTTTGTCTATCTATCTTACGATGTTCTCTTGCCTTGATACCTTAATATAGGCCCCAAGGGGCATACGTGAGCAATTCCAATCGCTGTGTGATTCGGCACAAAACAACTCTTCATTACTGGGCGTAATAGCGCTTTGCTGAGGCAATATGTGATGCGTCTGCGACAATATACAAACTATGCATCGATATAAAAGTTGAGCGCGGTAAACCTGCAAAGATCTGGTTAAATCCAAGTTGCAGAGTTTCAGCGTTCGGATAGAATCGCTGGAGGTATATCCTGGGTCCAATGCAGACAAGGCGTTACCATACAAGCTGGAATCTTTACTGTCTTACACGCTTGTTTTCGAAATCGTCTACCTAATTGAAGCTATATGTCTGTTTGTTTGTCCCTACGTATGTATATGTAGGTGATTCATCGCAAGCACAGACAAACGCCGATCAAGATAGTTCTTCATGGTAGAGCCAGCAGACTGCAAGAGGTGTGAAAGAGCGCTCAATAAGCGAGGCGCCAACAGCGTTCGTGGTGACGCCATGTATTTGCGTGCGATGAATCGCCTATATATGTCTGTACGTATCTATATCCGAATAGAAATTTTCATTTCTGGATCCATCCGGACCAAACTTTCAACACATACACTTGGGGACAGAGTGGGCGTCGAAAGCATTGGTTATCGATCATGTCGATTTTATTGATTTTCTGCCAAGTTTGTGCTTCAGGGAGTTGGCATAGGGATCTAAAAGTTGCCTGCACCCCCTTTCGAGAGTATTTTGCGCAACAAGACCCAGATGAAGTATGTATCTTCTAAAGAAGGAGAAACGGTTTTAATGACCTTCTTGTCGTTGTTGCTGCTGTTCTACAAAACTACAGTTCCTATTTAATTTGTCAGCTAGCAAAGATGATAAAAAAAAAGGCAGAGACGTTCAAAGCTGGCTGTGGCAGGCAAGGCTGCTGAGATAATGAGGTATGTCTTAAAGGCATAAGACAATTTGATGCCTCCTTATTAGAGCTCATTCAAAACGTTTTTATGAATAGGGGTTGAGAAGCAGTGCACATGACAAGATGATAAATTATAGCCTTTTATTTTCACAATAGGTTTTGATATCGAAGAGTGCTTTTCATCGCGTCAATACTTTTGCAAGGACTTCTTTGGTACTCTCAGTGTAAAACCTAGGATAAAGGGGCAAGCCTGATCTTATTTTTTGAGAGGGGCGAGTGGGTTAAGATTTTGATGATTGTAACTAATTTTCTCCCTAGATAACATTTCAAACTTTAAGTAAAACGCGCAAATCAAAAACTAATTCTGAATACAAACTATTCAATTACAGATTATTATTCAGTGGAAATCAAAACAAATTCGTGCAAATCCTCTACACTTAACAAGGTAAACAATGATTACCAACAAACAATGTACTTACTTATGGTACGTATGGTTGCTTCCGGAAAGCACAAAGGTTTGTAGCTGTTGTAAAATTTCAAATCATTATAAGCATCCTTCCTTACCTCAAATCCTGTGACGTAGACTAACTGCAGTAGGAGATGAGTGGAAAAAAAATCTTCACAGCTACAAAAGTCCGTAAGGAATCGGAATAAAACTTCGTGAGCTTCTTGAACAATTTCAATTTTAATCCTACAACAAATGCAAATTAACCACGCTCTGCAAGGAACTCTAAATTGGAAGTTTTTGAGATAAAATGACAAGTGCTTAGAAAACACCTGCCATCACCTGTTTCATTTCGTAACTACACTTGGCAGGATGAAAAAAATCATCCTTGAGCCACAATCGCAACGACGAAATCCATTACATTATGTGGGTCAACGTTCATTTCTGAGAGCCATAGCAAAGCTAATAATGAGTGTGTACACTCTATCAAGTTGATACAAAAGCGAGGTTTGCGCAAGCAATTCTCAAAATGTATAACCAGGGTCGAGCAAGAGGCATGGCATACAACCGCCGGATACGACGCCCCTCCCCCTAAGTTCTGTCTCGATATCCCCCCCCCCCCCAAACTTTTTCGCTTGCCTACGTAGGCATGACATAAAGGCTCTAACCAAACATAACTGGTGACATTTTCGTAATTATCATGTCAAATAACCCCTGTGGGCCAGTTTTAGCAAACACTGAGGTTCCCAATGTATCTTGGGCCACACATTGACACCATCAGAATCAACAATTCTGCCAACGAGATACAAACTCGTTTATTCCTTAGCATGAAGCATGAATTCTTAAAAGGCATAACGGTCCATTCACTTTTGAATATTATTACTTAAAGAAAGTCACCCAAATGTATGAAGCGATGGTAGTCCATTAATGCAAAGCCGTTGGGTGCGACGGGTAAGGTATGGTTTCGTCTTCCAAGTGTGCTCCCGCGGTATCGTGGAGAATTGACCCTTTTCTGTTCATTGAAGCTGGATGTAAGATCTTGTGTTTTTGGTACATTCTTAGTTTTTCTCGCAGCACTTTTGTGCTGTGATGAGTTCTACAGGATTTAGAAAGCAGTCGTGGGTTACACCTCCGATGAACCACCATATGGTGACCATGGCCTCGCGTTGATGAAGTTTCGGCTTTGGAAGATATCTCAGGGCTTCATCCACATCTAACCATTAGGCCGATCTTCTCCTATTATCGTGTGTTAAGTTGTTGCAAAAATAATGCCCTTTCCATACCGTAAGTTACGACTAGGAAGTTCATAAGTTCTATTTTACTCTTCCCGATCAAATTTTGGCGATTGCTTTTTTTGGTATGCTCATTCTGTTCTGATTCCTCCTATTATTGCATATACGTTTTGTAATCTAGGCGTATATTGTTGTTGATTGTTTGAGCACAACTATTTATCTTCTCCACCTTTACAAAAGGATGCAGCGATCTGCGCGGCCGTTGCGGTCAGCGGCAGTCTGAAACAACCCTTAGTTGTCTCGACTGTACGTAAGAGAAATGTCTGCAGTCTGTCGCGGTCAGTGCGGCAGTCTGAAACAACCCTTAGTTGTCTCGACTGTACGTAAGAGAAATGAATAGAAGATTTGCGGAAGTCGCGTGACATTCATGTTCTAAGCTCTATAAAAATGCAGAATTTCCAGCGTAAGGAGGAGAGGAGATTGAAACCAAATTGGTGCCATATACCAAACTTTGCGTGTGGGACAAATTTATCTGAAAATTCTGATTGTGTGAATTTGGAGTTTTGCCTACCTAAATGGGCATTAGGTGAGCAATTGCCCACCTAATTTGGAAAAAAGTTATGCACGCTCTCTATCAATGTAAGTTTTTCAAAAAATTTCGTACCCCTCGATTCACTGGCTTGGCGATGGAACGTGGGCTTCTTGACCCTGCTCTCTGACCACTACCTAGCGCTTGACGCTAGGTAGTGTTCAGAGAGCACACGTGCGGGAGAGACGTAGAGTGCGTCGCGGGCCCGAGCGGCTTTAACTAGGCCACAAAGCCCCGCCTTTAAGCGGCCAAACCAGTTGAATCATTACTTTGTTCCTCAGTCCAACTATTTGTACACACAACAAGTTTCGTGCCATATCGTCATCTGTGCGTTGCAAACGAGCCGTTTTATCATTTTGTGGTAGTGGGAAATTTCCAGAAAATGCTTGCCACAATCTTCAGTCACAAATCTTTCCACAATAATCTGCACAATGTTCCTTCTAGCCCAGGTCTACTCATACTCCATATTCTTGGTCATATCGATTTGTGCGCTGTAAACGAGACATTTAATTACAACTAAGCGAAAAAAATTTGGATTTTTGAAGATGACGCGCGAGCAAGATCATTGTTTTTGTATGTCAGTCGTGTAGCAACTTGTCGAGAGAGTGCATGCATGTAAACGTACATTTACGACATCCCCTTTGCTTCCATTCAAAACCATTTCCAACTTGACATTTGCCCTCCTCTTCCGGGCCCTGTTCTTTGCGCATTACTTTGCACAAACCTATTATCTCCACATTGTGACAAAGAAGCTGGTACGGCATCGATGAAATTATTGAACAAACAAAGAGATGGAAGTCCACAATAGAAGGAAGAATATTCCAAAATATTCCAAAATTACCCACTAAGTACAGATCCCAACTAGGACGGTAGTTTAGCCTTCTTGGCTCCCCATTATTGGAATTATCCGTTCACTTGTCTTTAAACTACTGTAACATTTCTTGAAGGATGATTTGACAGTCGGCATCGATCGAAGAGAGGCCAAGTTATATTAGTTCCTTACACTTTAACATCCTTTACCATGCACTCCCTATGATAATGTGATGCTCTGGTGGAAATGGCAAACTTCCAAGATTTATTGAACATGCATTAAGCTAGCGAATATAAAAAGAAGATGAAGAGGATTGATTACATAGAAGAAAATAGGAACGGGAATAAAAAACCACAGTGCAGAGCTGCTTAATCAATATTAACAAAATTCTTCTTCAATAAAATGAATATAAATGGAGAGAAGGAATATCAGATTGACCGAAAACACGGAATAGATCAAAGCATACGCTGAGGGCGTTAAGCTGAGACACATGCGGTGTACGCAAAACGTTCTCTACTGGATCTGAATGCCGGTCAGTTCGATGTCGCCTTGAATCTGCAAACCGGTGATGTCGTTAGGATCTGAACGATGGGCGAACGATGCAAAACGCTCTCCGTTGACGAAGATCTGGAAAAAAAGAATAAAAATCAGGTACAAATTTGATAAGAACTATAAATCAGCATGTTTTCCACCCGCGCATAACCGATCTATCTTTTGAGCTTTACACGATAAATTTCATACCTCAATGTCACCGCATCCACAGCATTCTGCTGTAATACTATAGGATTACAGTTGAAGACTGTATGTAACGAAAACGCAACTTTGGCACACTCTGTGTCAATCACGTGCTCCCTTTTCCGCGAGCGCCACGTCGGAGCTTCGCGGCGCCATCTATTCCTACCGGGCTGGCTGCGCGAACGGTTCGCGTGCGGGCCGAGATTGGCGCAAGGGCGCGCATTTCATCTTGTTCTTAGTGTTAGTTGCTTTCCATGGCATCGAACTGGCTCTTGAGGAAGGATTTTCGCGTTCGTTTTCACTCATAAAGGAGTAACTGATGAAGGCATTAAATTTATTTTGCGCTAATGTACGCTAGTTGGCTTAGCTCTATGACCACATGGTATTGAACTAGTCCAAGACCCAATTGTAACTAAACAGCTTGTTCGTTTTCTGAATGGGAAAAGTAGTGGTTTGAACATCCTGTCCTATCTTTATCTGAACTTCGTAAGTGTAAACTGACCACCTCTCCCTAACTTGTGTGTCTGCGATGACCTGAGGGGTTTCAATATCATATACGATTTCATCGTGACAAGATTGATAGGAGGAAATGAGGAGCAGTCTATGAAGCTCTCACTACTTCAATTTCCCAACAGCCGCCCAATCAAATGTTGGGCAAAGTTTGGGTGACATGACACCAAAGCACCATAATCCGTCTATAGAGTGGCCAATAAAGATTTGCGCTGCTTGAACGCTTGGTCGTAAGGCATTTTTTTGACTGCATCCGCAGTATGCATGCCAACATTCGTACATCTTTGGCGTTCTCCTCTTGCTAAGATCGTTGAATTTAACGAATGTATAAAGCAATGGGAATCCTCATAGACCGCTATTTGACTTCCTATGAGCGTGCTGACATCTCCAACTGTCTAATGTTAGACAGTTGGAACAAGTAGTTTACTGGAGTATTCTAAATGTGCTAACACGCTGCAAAAATGCTTAGTCAACATCGAACATCTCACACACAATAAAACTCTTCAGCAAGTTACTTTTGATGTAAAGATACTACACTCCTTTTGATCTGAAATCACAACGAGTGAATGTTCGCACACCCTCATCGCAACATAGATATACTTGAAGCTAGATATAGATATTGTTGCTGTAGAAACTTGACGAACATTTCCAGCTTCAAAACTTGGCTAGTGTTATCAACGAGTGAATGTTCGCACACCCTCATCGCAACATAGATATCATATATCATCATACGCGTGAACATTGAATACTGATGTTCTGATGTAAATTATTGATGTTTTGCATCTACTGCGATTAACGATAATCGCTAATTTCAGCATTTCTGCAGCAGTTTGAGTCTTGATATCAGAGACAGAGATACAAGAAAGCATTGCATGAGTTCGCGACGAATTCTACTTATGTAAACTATGAGACCAGTCTTAGGCTTTGTAAAGAGGAAAACATTCAAACTGCGAGTTCTCAAAATGGTATGAACGAATGGTACAAGACTTGACAAGCTCATGTGATGGTTAAAGAGAAAAGATTTTCCATAACAAATCCAATAAAAGCAAAAAAAAGAAGACATTGCTGACATACTACACAGTTTTACAATCAGTCATAGCATCCAATGGCGAATAAGTAGCTTAAATATTCATCTATATTCCCTTACAAGCTGCGCTCCGTAATGAGTTCACTACTTCTTATCAGCAGTCGTGGTCCGATGAACATCAAAGCCCGCCTGCACACATGCAAGAATGCGCGCCCTCTCGCTAATCAGCAGCCACGCGCGAACCGCTCGCGCAGCCAGCCCGGTAGGAATAGATGGCGCCGCGAAGCTCCGACGTGGCGCTCGCGGAAAAGGGAGCACGTGATTGACACAGAGTGTGCCAAAGTTGCGTTTTCGTTACATACAGTCTTCAACTGTAATCCTATAGTATTACAGCAGAATGCTGTGGATACGGTGACATTGAGGTATGAAATTTATCGAGCTTCGCGCTAGGTTCGCGCGCGTATAGCTTGCGCATCAAATTGGCATTATCGATTGAAGGTCCGCACGCAATGCCCTCGCTTGTGCATGCGTAGTTCCTGCGCGAAAGGGAGTACGTCTGACACAGACCGTTAAACAAGTCAAAACCGTTCTTCCTGCAACGTTGTACACTCAAATTAATTGGCATACATTTGGTCCCCCCCTCCCTCCCCTGTCCCTTTAAAATCGTATGAAACGAACCTGGAATGCGTACGGCTCATTCTTGATGGCTAAATCAAAGCCGACTCCTTTCTCGAATGGCATCTTTCCCTCCTTTTCCTCATTTCCCCATTCATTAGCGGCAAGAGCATTTCGGATCACGGCCTAAAACTGCTATTTTTTCTAATCTGTTCAAAAAAGTCAACTTTCCCCCACCTTCTCATCAAATCGTGGATTGAAGTGAAGTGCAATGTCGCCGTTTCGCCTAAGCAGATTGACATTGAAGCGTTTGGCCTTCTTCTCGACGGTACCGAAGATGAGCAGGGTCTTTTCGACGTTGAAACCGGCAGCAATTCCGCTTTCGTAGGGGACTGGCTGAAAGAAGTCAGTTTTAGAGCAAAGCCCAGAATCGATGAAAGAGCCGAAGAAATGCGGTTACGTCAAGTACATTAAGAAATATCAACAACCAGTTCAAATAAAAATAGCAGAACTTACATAGTACTTTCCACCCCAGTGAACATGATTGAGGTAAAGGTCTCCATCGATTGAAAGATGAGTAATGGTGGTGAGAGGAAGGCGATGCTCGTAGTCCTTGAACTCTTTCTGGTCAATGATGATCTGAAAATAATGACATTTTCTATTACGCCTCTATCATTCATCAATTTGCGTATAAATTTTTAGAGGACAAAGCCGAGAAAATTGCCCATTTGGGATGAATAAAAACCTTGTGAGTTTGAGAAGTTATGGAAATTTGACAAATTAGGTGACGCTTTGTTTATAGTGCATTCAATCTGGAGTGACCGGTAAACACGCTCACCGACACGCACGCTGGATGCATGCCCTGCACGCAACAGCTCGACAATAATCGACCAATTCGGAATAGAGTATTTCGCGCGACTGTTAGGCACCCCCTCAACTTTCAAAACGGATCTCATTTATTAGCTACATTTTTTCAAATTTTACACAACAAGATTTGATTCAAGTCTCGTTGCGCTATTTGGAAATTTACACAAACCTGGAAGCGATCATCATGAGCACGGATTCGAATGTCGAATGAGTCTCCCTTCTTGATCGGATTCGATTTGCGCTCTTCTTTTCCCCATTCACCGTTGGAAAAGGTGTTCATGACAATCTGAAAAGGCAAATACTTTTTGCGAGTAAAAAATTGAGAAAAATTTCTGGCCAATTTATCCAATAAGTCCATAAAATCCATATTCAACCTTTCAATTCAAAGCCCCACTTTAACGCTTTCTGGCTATTTTTAGCATCCCTGAAGTCCCCCTCTTCTCCTGAAGTGACTGCATTCCAATCACCTCAAGCGAGTGAGTAAACAAAATTTTTTCCCATGTGCCTGATGGGCTTACAAGATAGTTTGTAAAAAATTTCCACTTCAGAACCTCCAACTTTATTTTTAGCTTCCTCGACACTCTCTTTAAAGCAAAATTGACGATGCTATACAGTCAATCTTTACAGAATATTTCTTTATCCCCCGGAAATTTCCAACCCCTCATGTTAGTTACTCAGGCTCCAGACGTTACATCAATTTCGTTCTAGCTATGCGTGGCTATAAATTTCTCCGACAAGGGTTGTCTCGCCAAAGAAAAAAACGCCCGATAGGATCGATAGCAATACCAGCGGCGAAATGAAAAGCAGTTTTTTGTGGGCACATTGCCCTTTGAGACTGGAAAGGGCTCACGTACGATTTAGAACCGTAAAATGTCTAGCAAGATTTTTCTGACTATCCCCGGAGTTGTAGGACTCAAACCTTCTAAATAGAAATGTAGCTCTATTCCCCTGCTAACAAATACAAAAGATTCATGTTGATTTTCCTCTCTTTCAGCTTGCCTGCCTTTGATCCGCTCGAGCCCCGCCTTTGTGAATTTGTTTTCTTAAAAGAAAACCTTCACTATTAACAATACTTGCGCTTTTTCTCTACGATGCCTTGATATTTCGATCGAAGACATCGAAGCGGCAGCGCAAAGCTCCTTCTGAATGTCATTTGCGTAAAATAACGATTCAGCGCTGTTTTGGCACATGCCAAGCATGCTTGAGCGGTGAAAAATTTATTTTTAAGGGGAGGATGGAAAAATAGTCAAACCAGCAAGATTTTTCCAAGAGGGAGGGATTGTGGACATATTGTCAACTGTGAAAGATTTTTTGAAAAATGTGTGTCCCAATAATCATTTTCAACGATTGTAATAGTAACATTCTCCGGTCTTCACTATCTTATGACGTAGCAAAAAATGCAGTTGCGTATTATTACTGAATTGGAATAATGATATTTCGAATTCCTCAGTCGCTTTGAAATTTCCACAAGAAAGCGCATAGGATTCCTAGAAGGATACTAAAAAAAATTGTGCAAATGGGCCAGAAAGAGATTACCGTTAAAATATGTGGTTCCCGCGAACCTTAGGCGCATTCAAAACTCGTGCCAGCGCCGTTCCGGAACGTGCTAGCTCCGCTAGGTATTGATCAGTCGACTCGTTTTTCTTTTGACTGCTTAGAATTTCGAAAGTCATCGGAAATAGGGAAAAAATATGTGGGCTCTAAAACGTTTTAGTTTCCCCTGAACCCCCAGATTGGAAACTCCTGTTTTCCCCCTTTTACGCCTCTTCTTCTTACAAATTATGAATCCCTCCCCTTTCTTCCCCCCCCCCTCCCCATATCTCTGCTTACTCTTCTGCGTCATGGTCTAGCAATCCTATCGTAATACTAACAAAAGCCCGAAAACATTTAAGAAAAATCTGTTTACCTTTCCCTCATCAAAGCGCACCGAAATGTGCAAAGGAACATCGTTTCCAGAAAAATCAGCTGATTTGCTGTGAAGATTAATCGTGAACCTATAATGATGCAATTCACAATGTTCTCCAGTAAATATTGGCATAATCATCTGTCATTCTTCCAATGTTTTTGTGAAAAAGCGACATAAAGAAAAAAAAGCGAATAGTGTGTGATTTTTCTTACCTCGTCGACTCATCGATGGTCGAGCCCTTTACGATCAGTGTCTGGCCAGGCTCGATTTTCTCCTGGAGGATGCTGCGGTAGGGTACGGGCTGAAATAAAGATAATAAGGTTACAAGCACTTTTTCTAGTTTGCCTAGGCCTATGGCTGATAATGTGACTCTTCATTATTATAAGGCGTCCAGAATTGTCTTTGCCAGTGCCGTGCCAGCATCGTTCCAGCGCCGGTCGGAACGGTCAGTCAATCGATACGGGACGCTTTTGCGTGGATTTCGCTACGGTGCTAGAACGGCACTAGCGCACCAGCACATGGGCAGCTCCTGCTCCCTTGTTCTAAGCATGTAATTCACTTTTTCTTGTACATTCTAGTCTTTTCTGAAGCCCACTTTAAAATCTTCGGACAGAAGATAAGGCAAGTATAGTTGTTAAAAAGATATGTCAGCCAATTCTGCAATTGCACAGGAACGTCATTCGTAATGATTCCATTTTATGCAAAGTCCACTTCTTTACGCTTAATTTGCTCGCAAATGCTATCTTCACGACTTCAAGGTGTTTTTATGTTATTCATACCATATTTTTTGAGGATATGGGACCCTAAACGGGCCAAGAATTGTCTCGAAGACATTCTACATTGTCAGAATATAGACAACCTAATTCGTGAATACGAACTCATGTATGATGCAACACATAAAATTTATGGACATTTTTATTTGCACCAGTTCTAGTGCCTATTCCTAAACTACATAATCAGAAAGGTTTTGTCAGAAATTCCGCAAGGGTAATAAATAAGTAACAATATCTACAATCCAGTTAATTCTCAAAATTTCCTACATCTTCCAAAACGCGTTCCTTACACAGAGAAAACAGTCAGAAAATCTAAAATCAAGCGCAAAAACGAGTGCAGGATGGAAAACATATCGTCAAAAGATTTTTTTACTGAAGATTTCATCCCTCATACCTTATTCTCACTCACGTTACTTCCCTGAATAAGCCAATGTATAATATCGAGTATCACTAGCATATAGCATTCGACTAGCTTCTTCGAAGAGAATTTGTAGCGTATAGCCGTAAAGTATGGATTTTCCGAAGTGTTCAGCTTTACCATTTTGCTTTTAGCTACATGACAGTAAACATCAACATCCCGATAAAGCAAAGCGCGCGCCAGTCAATCAACGAAGATTAGGTGCCTTTGCGGTGACTACAACACTTATGCGCAGACAAATGCCATATTTGCTTGCGACTTGCGCGCTTAATGCCGTTGTTTACGCTTGAATGTTGTTGGCACCGCAAGAACACTATGGTATTCGACAAATAGCATGTGCATATTTCGTTTGTTAACAGCCCAACTGACTCAACTTTCATTTGCAGGAACACCCTCAAGAAAATTCGTGCATTTTTTTTCAACAAGGCTTTTTCTCAATGTTATCTGGATAAAATATTCTTATCGCCTGTTTTGGTTGTAAAAATTGCTTTTGCGTGCATTCCTGGCATATCAAAGCCAAACGGAAAGGCATGCCTACCTGACTTTTTGATTTTTTACTTCCCACTATAATCTTTTTTCATTTGTGAATATAAGGCTGCAATTTGACCAAATTTCTTGGTAGAGTGAGCCAAAAAATAAGGCGGAAATTCTCAACTCTACAACTGTATACATTTATTGCATCAAAAAATGAAATAGATATAATACATAAATTCGGATATTTAATAATTTATTTTGATCAACTTTTGTCACATTTTCCATACATAATCAATTATTTATGATGAAGTATGTAGGATTGTTTTGTAGAGAAGGAGGGGCTATTTATACGTCCTTTTATCCGACTGTTTCTAAAGTTACTCACAAAACTAGTAAGACTAGACCAGATAATTTGGTCTCTAATCTTGCTGTCCTTTAGTTAGTGAATTTTTAGATAAAGCTCTGTAAAATCAATCCATCGATACAATTCTAAAGCGCGGAAATAGCTCTAATAAATGACCACCGTTCTACAAAAAAAAAATCACGCCACAACCATCGTCAGCACCCGAGCGAAAGACAAAACAAACTGGTTCCCAACTTTTTTTCCCGTTTCTCCATTTACAATGCAGCGAAGTGTGAACATTTTCCAGCCGAGCTGCGCTAATTCTCGTTGATTCACAGCAATTCCAAAGCTGTGACTAAAGCCTTAGCGGCGCCATCGTTTAGTTTCGCAAAAGTAAACAATATAGACACTTTGTGATTATGGACATTAAACATTACGTGAAATTATAGCTTTAGGTAAACAAAGAAGAAAAAGAGTCAAGCGCCAATGCGACAAAAAGGATTCTGGTGTGACTGTACTTCTAGAACTATCTAAAGGTTATTTTTAGAAAGGACGCGCTCAAAATAAGTGTAAAACCATTTTCTTCATAATTTTTGTGCACTTTTGTATTTCTTTTCCCCAATTTTGATCCTTCAGAGTTCGCTGTATATAAAAGTTATTCTATTGGGTTGATGCATACGTCCTGCACCAGAAAAAGATTTTTTTCTGAAAAATATCCAGAAGCTATTTCAATCACAACATGCATTTTTCCAGCATGTGTTAAATGTCTTATTTTATCAAAAAGGTTAAGGAATTTGATTAAATGTTGATAAAAAGCTGACCACTAGTAAGAGCAAGATTTTCATTCCTTAATAACCGTCAAAATTGAACAATTTTTTTTCGAAGTTGGAATATGAAGCTTACCTACATAATTCCCCTTTCCCACTCAAATATGAAGAATATTTTCCATGCAAATAAATCGTTAGATTTCTGCTAAGTTAACTCAAAAAATGTGATAGGAATTTTTTGGATTTTCCGAATTATTTACAGTTTCAAAGAAACAATTTGAACCAGATAGTAGCAACGACCTTCGCTTTGATTTTGCACTGATACATAAAATTGCAGAGTGCAGTCCAATAAAGCTGTCATTCAGTATCATGAGCAGTTGTGTACTTTATCAAGTAATCCGATTGAATGCACGGAAAGAAGAGTGTTAGTCTGAACCAATCAGGATAAATAAATTGTGGACAAGGTTATAGGTTCCGTAAAACTTTTTATTAAAGGACCATATTTTTAGGGAGCCTAAATTTGCTAAAGAAAGCCATCTTTTGTAAAAAAGAAAGTAGGAGTTTGCCTGCAAGGTGGGTAATAGTGTTTTATTATAATTGATGAGTTACTCAGAACTAACTACTTGTAGAAAAATCGTTGATAAAAAACCAAACACATAAAATTGAAGAGTCCAAATAAACTGGATATGTACTCTACGGCTCGCAAAAAGAAGATGCAGGAATTCCGTTCTTGGACAAAGTCACTGCTCCAAGGAAAAATTATTCGGAACTTCCGCAGAACTATTAAGATCTAGTATCCGCAGATACTCAGCTATTTTTGATTACCACTTCAAAAAAAGGTTTCGCTGATTATTTGAAAGATACCGCATTATTTCGTGGTGATATCAACCTCCTTCGATTAAGCTCTGCAAACTTGCTAGATTGTGCGAAAAGTACGTTCTCGGAAGTTCTGCAGGACTTAAGCGGCTTGACCAAAAATCCATTCAGATTTCGGCAAAAAAACAAGAATCCAGTCTTGACAAATCAAAATTAACATCTCGATAAATCTTGTGAAAATTACAAATGATGTTTACAGATTAAGTTAGGAAATCCCTAGAGTCATTCAAATTCGATTTTAAAGAAATTTGAGGTAGGTGTCTTCCAATTTGGTTGTCTTATTTACACAAATTAGAAACAAACCTGACTTTTGGCTCATTCCTCCACAGAAACCCTATAAATCACTAAAAAACCTAGCCAAAGCTAATTGCTTTGACTTCGCCGATAGAGTAACCCTTACCCGATCAGGTTAGCAAACAAAAACCCGAGCTCACCTTGTTATACTCGTACCACTTAAGAAAATACGTCATATCGGCGTTGAAGAGGGCAGTAAGACTGCGAGCGATGAGTCAGGTCTGAGCAGCAGCAGCAGCAACGATAGCGCCGGTCCGCAAAAATGCGTCGATCGTCGTCGAATCGAAGGGGCAGCACTGTATACCAGGACGGTGAAGATGTGTCGGACACACACACACACACAAGAATCGAAGATGTAAATGCGAAACAGATATACGGGGCGGGGGTGGGGGTGTGACGGGGGTTTTTGTGTGGAGTTGTCAATGACCTGATGAGTCAAGCGGAAAGGGCACTGATTCATATGGGTGGGACAGGTTGAGAATAAGAACGGGGGAAAGGGAGGGAGAGGGGGGGGGGGAGAGGAACGTGATTTTCGGTTATTTTTGCTGATGACGAATAAAACTCGAACATTCACAACCTTTCCCGCATCAAAGATGTGTTGAAGAAGAAATGTATAGCGAAGTATGAATCAGCAGTCATTCATTCTTTCTCATCTCCCCCCCCCCCTTTCCCCTCTCCGCCGCGCAAATTTCTGAATCAATCGGTCTTAGTCAACGGGAAAAACCTATTCCATAGAAAAACAGATGTCACTAGGCCAATATCATCCCTCTTCCTATGACTGACCTCGTCGAGGTCATCGTTAGTTGTACCAGGTGAAAAAGCTCGCGCAGCAGATTATGCGCCAGCTTTTGCATCGGCTGAGTGCAAAAATTTGCGAGGGGGGGGGGGGGCTCAAGTACACAGGGATAAAAATGAAAGAATGTCTGTGTTTGCACAAATGATCCTATCATACACGACCAATGTCTAGCAAGATTCCTGAAGTGGCAAAAAAAAAGCGCGCAGACTTGAGTCTTCACGAATGCCTTTCTTTCATAATTTTTCGAAAATTCATTTGCCAAAAATTTTCAAAAAAGGGTAGGCAGCTTCTTGATAGAATATCCAACTCTAGAAACTACAAATGCTATGAACAAACTCTATGTACAACCAAAAAACCCCTCTTCCAAGTCCACCCGCATTTTCCATTATTAAGTTAACTGTAGTTGGTGCAATCACACCAAAAACATATAAACTTCGTAATTTGCTCAAGATGAGAGCATACCCTGAGAGTGTTATCAGAAATCTGTGAGAATTCTCTACTAAAGAAAGATTACACTTTGATTCGAATGGCTTGGCGGCTGGAAGGCGGGGCTTCGTGACCTAATTAAAGTTGGATAACGATCAGAGAGCACGCGCGCGACAGAGACGCAGACAGCGTCACGGGGCGAGGGCCTTAATTAGGTCACAAAGCCTCTTCCAGCCGCCAAGCCAATTGTATCAAAAATTAACTCGGTTTTTTTTACAAAAAATTGAGAAAAGTGAGAAAGAAGAAAGAATCTAGATTCAAGATCAATGACTAGTAAAAAATTTATTATTATAAAAGTATTTTTCCCAGTATAGCAGCAGAAAGACCTGACTGTTGATTAGGGATGCAGTCTATAGGATTTTATGAATATCTTAGCTCAATTCTCTGAACTAACGAAGCGCTGGGAGCTGCTTCCTGTCTCCTCGAAACACAATGGGGAAGATTTACTTAGTGAAAACAGAATCAGGAATTCTTAAAAAGAAGCAAAGTTGAAAAAAAGGAAATCTGATTAGTTGTATGCTATTATTTCCCATAAATAGCTGATATGATAACGAATTCCGCAAAATCGTGCAAGCAAAGATTTTCTCCCAATGGGCTTCGAGCCTGGGAAATCGTATAGAATTAACTTCTACGGCCAAATGGTTACTAGGCAACAACTCGTTTTGTACCAATACTGCATTCAGTGCAATTATAGTGGCAATTTCCAAAAAAGACGGCTGCATAAGCTATGCCAGACATTTTTGCAATGCGTGCAATTGCAGAAAATCTCGTTTGCTGGCTATCTACGGCTAGCAGTGGATGACAAAAAAAGCGCAGTAGCTATAAACGCTTAGTGAGCCTTCTGCTTGCTCTTCTATAGCCTATACACTTTACAGAGAACATTATAGAGGTTCTATAGTTGTGTAAAGCAGTTTCACTGTTCATAAAAAACCCCTCGTCAGAATAGGCACTACAGTCGCTGCGCAACAATGCGCGTCGCGGCTTTGTGCATAACTTGCGGACATGACTAGAGTGGTGCAAATGGCTAGAAAATCGCATTTGTTTGCTTACCAGAATATTAGTATACTGTTACTATCACCTTATGCGCTATTCTTTAATGTTTGCAGAATACACACCTAGAAACACGCCTAAATTCGCATGTCGAACTTTTCTTGTGTATCATAGAAAGCGCCATTTTTTGGAAAGTTTCGTATCAAAAAAAGCTCAAGAAATAGAATTGTGAATCACATAAAGCTTGTGATAAATTTAACAGAAAAAACGCGCAATTGCACACCACACATCACATTCAAAGAAAGGAAGACTAACAGGCAGAAATACGATACTAGTGCACCCTATGGCTGGTTTTGTGCCCTTTTTGTACTTTTGCAAAAAAAATGATGCGAACGCGGTGGGACCCGGGCAGAAAAAAGCAAGCGCGGAATTTGATGAGAGGGGTGCATCGCAAACACTATGGGTTAAAGAGTTGCAGACAAAAAAGTCATAAACCAACAATCCCTTCAACCATAAAAATCTTGTCCCATAGTTAGAAAATTCTGTAGCCATAATTAGCACAGACTGCAGATTTGTCTCTTGAACTAAGCCTACAAAATCTTGTATTTTGTCAAGGAATGGAAACGGCAAAGGAGAACAAATTGCGTGCAAGTGAGAAAATCACGAAAAATAGCCACTGCTGGAGTTTATTGGCCTGGTCGATGATTGATGTGATAGCGTTTTTATCCAAAAATATCTGCAAACTGTGCAGAAATTGTGAATTATGATGGCTCGGATGGTAGCGCGAAATGCATTGGAAAGAGTAGAGCGAGAAGGGGAATCAAGCAGAACTTGTATGAAAAAATATAATTGGAATAAGTATGTGATAAATTGGCACGGTGCTCGCGCAAATCGTTAGAAATAGAGAAATGCAAATTGTTGGCATTATTCCGATTAAACAGCTAAAAAACATATGCGATCGATCAATGGGAATGGAAAAGCATATGCATTCGCATGAAGGAAAAAAAAGAAAAAAACGCAAAAAGATATGAATTAACATTCAAAAAGCAAGAGATAGCTTTTTTAGGGCTCTTCGCGATTCTGCACTTTTCTTGCCAAATGATTTTGCCTAGGGATGGGTACGCACGATGCCAAGAGCCCGTTACTTCTGGACATGAGACTTTCACTGTAAACTTTTCAAGTTGAATGAACAGTGGCTAAGAAAATTTTCTGGAACTCTGAAAAAAGCTCCAAAGCGTTTGCCTTTGAGCAGCGACTTTAATCTAGAAGATTCGGCAGATTTTCTTAAACAAAAACGAGCATGCGCTCTTGTTTCATAGCCTATGCAGAAAGTTTCATGCAGATTACATTTTGTTTGTTTATTTATTGATTAGTTGTTCACTATGCACGTTATTTATTTATGTGTTTCGTTCATGAGGACTAATGAGCCATAAAAGAACATCTCTGCGCAGAAAGGAGCTTAAAAGTACCAAAAAATTTTCGAAATTCAAATCAATCTAAATTAGGTGTTTAGCCATAAATTGTGCACTCCCTAGCCCCCTCCCCTCCCCTCCCCTCCTACAAGCGTCCTCTCCCCTCTTCCCCCCCCCCCCCCCCACCTCTAATCCAAAATCTTGCAGCAGCACCTAACATACTATTAAGTTGACTATTAGGAAATTTTCGAATTTGAGAAAGGCGCAGTTTTGTATATGAAAAAAATCTAGGAACATGAATTTTGATAGTGAGCCAGCTGTAGTGGGTCCGAGAAATTTCAATCGATACCCATTTTCAGCACTAGGCCCTATCTCTACCAACTTCTTCTACTCAACCAGGGAACGAGCACGATTTTCATTCAAGTTTATGGTTTGTGCATGAAACAGGAAATTCTAAGCAACAAAAAAATGGCTAACATGACCTGAGATTTTTGTTTCGTTTCAGAAATACGGTGTCAAAAAAAAACTGCGATCAAGCCTAAAATTTTCAGTTTTATCGTAAATTTTCTACAAAATACCTTGCACTCAGGACAAACATTTTTATTATGATTTTTCGGCTAATTGGGAAATCATTATTTAGCGAACATCGCGAAAATGACTCATAAAGAAATCTGAGGCAAAGAAGTGTGAAGAAAAAACGATTACTCATTACTCATAAAAGTACCTAAGTAATTTATATAACTATGGAAAGTTCTGGAGAAACTTGTGCATCATAGATCGAGTAGAGGAAAGACATAAGGTGAAAACGAGTTTTACAGCTCTAAATGCCGCTTTCGCGCTATAAAATAACATATGTTTTGCAGTTCGGTGAATGGCTAGAAGTTTAGATGTTAGGAAGCTCGGCAAACTCAGCGCAAGGGACATCATCAGTGACTGAAGCTGAAAGGAAATGGGTTGCATTTGGGGGGTAAGACGATATTCTACTGTAATATTTACCTAACCCTTTTTGTTAAAAAATTTGATGCCGTCGCTAAGGTAGACTTTCAAGCTCGTCTAGGGTAGAGAAACAAAAATTTGAGCTTTGCAGAAAGTTGTCATGAGATCATTTCATCAGATTGCATAACATTGGGTAATATTGAGTCACATCACTTGTTATGCAATGTACTGAGTCATCACTTCACATCACTTGTTATGCAATATCTTACCCCGCCCTAACCGCTGTTATTGTTGTAAGACGGACCTGCATATAAGAGAGGACTGGAGACCTTCAGGAACTCACGGACACTAACACTCACCCCCTCCCCTCCCCCTATCTCTTTTGTCTTTTTGTATCTTTAGTAATAAACATATATAATCATTATGTTTGACACACTATAATACCGCTACACGCTCAGGTAAGACAAGGCCAGTCTTATCCTGACATGGAGGCCCCGGGGAGATATTTCTCTAGAATACTTTCTTTAGAATATTTTTTTCCAAATTAACCCATTTTTTTTTATCCGTTCTTTCGGGATAAAACCTTACCCCACCCACCTCCACTCCACCCACCCTTCGACGTCGTCCTACATCTACTACCCCTTCCTTAACTGATCATTAAGGAAGTTCGAACGAAGCACGTATGTTCCTTTATATATTCAATTATACTTAATAATAGTTTATAACAATCATTCGCAATCCACAGATTGCCAACATAAAA